TAAGTATTTCTAGGACTTCAACACACTGCTTGGTTTCAATGCATTCTTCAGGTCATATTGGAAGCCAGGATTCTCCCAAAATATCTTGAACTACTACTAGGTGGTTCTTAAAGGAGAAAAAACCCACAGAAAATCATGCCTTGATGGAATGATGTTTCCTGCAATAGTTCTTTTCCAGCACCCTTCTTTGCAGCAAAGGTGATTGAGCAAGGATGTTGATTGAAAGACACTCTTAATGAACATCTCAAGCCTAGAGAAAAGAATGTAAATATTCAGTGGTGGGAAATCTACTGTATTGTCTGTGCTTACCTGAAACATGTAATTAAACAGTTTTAAAGAACCCTTTGCTTCCTGCCTGATAAAGAATGTCTGCTTTTGCCTTTTATAAAAGTATTTATAAATACTTCAGAGTTTTCCATGGGAGGTCATATTGACCTGCACAGAAAGAAAATGACTTGTTACGGATGATCTGCAGCTCTAAATGTACTCCTGCTAGAGTATGCTTTAATAGAGCACAAGTTACAGCTGAACACTGAAGTGAATTTCTTGTCACTTTGTCACTTGCAGCTTTGTGTGCTACCCTGCCCATTTAACATGCGACACTGCCCTGGATACCAGCAGTGGCAACTACCCAACAGTGGTGCATGCTGCTGCTTTCTTATGTAGGCTCACCTTGTAAACACAGGGGAGCGATTTAATCTCTTGTATTGGTAAATTTTTATTTCTAGCAGAAATTCTTCCTACTGTTAGGAAAAAAAAAAAAACCCTCGCACCTTATACTCATTGCATAAGTAGTATAACTGGAAAAAAAAAAAAGTGTCCTGTTAATAAAGCTAGTGTGAAAATTCTCAAGTCAGTTAACAGCACTGTTCAAATTCCATGGTTTTTGTACATTTACTGTATGTATTTACACTGCAATTCCTCTGGAAAAGTGTACATGGTAAATAAGCAGTTGAAGACAACAGTGCTTTAATGAAGAAGAAAACTTTAATGCTTGCTGGAAGGAAAGGTGTATGGGAGGAGGGGAGCCTGTGTGGGTCCCATGTCCATCTCAGAGCTTTGGTGAATGCCTTCTTCATATCTTACCTTGTGATAGATGGGTGAAGACAGCAAATTCTGTGCCTGAGACTTGTTCCTTGTGCATACAGGAACAGTGAAGTTGTAAAAGAATGGGAAGGGGCGGAGGGCTATCTGACTAGATCATGCCTGCCTAGAAAAATAGAAGAAACTTTGACAAAAGGTTTGCTTAAAAGATAAGTAATTGAATAAGAATTACCTTTAATGGCCTTAGTCATGGAGAAAAGGTTTTTTTAAAAGGATTAGTACACTTTTTATGTTGTTTAAAATCTTGCACAAGTCAACTGATTTGACAGCAATTTTCAGATAGGAAAGAAGACAATGAGAAATGTTTAAAACTTAAAATAGATTTTAGGAGGCAACAATGTGCACTTTTGTGCCTATTTTCTGCACAAGCGTTATAGCTGGAGTAGAATGTATGACTACAGTCTGCAGGCTAAACAGCGGTATGGCAAGCAAATCTGCTCCTAGGACATACCTCTAAAGTATCTGGCAGTGGATGGGAGATAAGGAGAAAGTGTGCATAAGCTTTAATAACAATCTGTGTCTGTCCTTTTAACCACACCGATGAAGCGAGGAGTCATAATTCTTCCTCTGTTACTGACACGGGACAGGTAAACCTAATATCCATTGCCTATTTAAGGTAAAACCTGTTGGAAGCAACATGTCGTAAGAAGAATAGTGCTTACTGTTGCTATTTCTGAGACAATGTAAAATTGATGCAAACAGATACTATTTATTAAAAATAAAACATGGGCTAGTTAATGAAAAGTTAGAAACAAGGCCCCTGAATACATCAGGAAACCATATTTGTTTTTTGAGCCTTCAGCCATTTTAAAACCTGTGGGGTGCTGCCACCTTCTTCCATGTCAGCCCTCTTGCATTGCTCTTCCCTCTCCTGCTGTGTGCTGCTTCACTGTTCTTCCCTCCATCTACCTGCCTGTACTTGAGCACCGCTGCTCTAGGGATTATTCCCATCTCCTCTACCATGTGCTGACATAATGCCAGCGAGGATACAGTGCTTTTGTAGGTAGCATCTTGCACGTTAAAAAAACATGCATTGGTATCTGTTTCATCTTTTTCCTGTGCCATATTGTCTTTCTTCCTTCCTACAACTTGATTTTTATCTTCAACAAACGTGAAAACCCTTTTGCTAAACCTTTGGTATAGCTGCTGCTCCATTATTATCGTTTCCATTTGTTTGGGTTCCTTGAGGGATCTCGTGCACCCTCTGTGTACGATTGCTTTCTTTCCCTCCTGCTTCCACAGGCTCTTCCTTTTCCCTCTCATACTTGGCCTATTAGCTCTGTCATTTTTTTTTTCTTTACTGAAAGCTAGACTTGATTGTCTTCACCGTTATTCTTGACTATGGAGAACTGACCTGCCAGGATGACTGCAAAATCAGTCTTTCCTTGACTGTGCTATAATTGTTCTTATTTGCAGTGTCCTGCGTTCATTTGTCTGAAGGGTTTTGGAGCAAAGTGCTCACTCGTTCTTCTGTTGTAGGACATACGTAAACCAGTGCTTTCATTTTAGTATGTTTCTAGAGGTTGGGTTTTAGAAGAGAGAGTTGATTTGGGGGGAAAGGAAAGAGAAATGAGTAAGTAATTAGAAGTTAAGAACCACCTTGTGAGAAGGTGGATATAAGTAAGGGTGCAGATAAATCTCTGGTGGGGAGGTGGGCAGTGCCCAAGCCTCAAAGTTTTCAGCACCTTAGGGGCATGTCAGGTACCTCTTAAGCTGAATATTAAAGAAAGAGGTTTTTGTTCCTGCGTTAGAAAGAAAAACGTGTAATGGGATTATCAACAAGTGTCACTTCAGCCCACGAAGGAGCTGACTTGGTTCCTATGCTATAAGCCTGAATTCAAGTAGATGTCTGCTGGTTTACCCTTAGCCTACGAGCTGCTTATCCTCCCCACCTGCATGTTTTGAAAGACTTTCCAGTGCAGTAGGGGCGTGGGTATGAGCATTTTCTAAACTCAAAAAAAAAAGGATAGTTTTTATTGACCTGTTTGGAGGCTGATGGTTTTCCCCTAGCTACACCATACAGCACTGGTGGGATCCAGGTGAGACACGACTAAGAGTAAAGTGAAATATTAGAGGATAAAAAAAAAAAAGATGGCATGTTTGTAGCAACAACTAGCATATCCTCTGTGGATTGGGGAACAAAGGCCAGTCCCCCAAAGTCTGGAGCTGGAGGTACTTCAGGCCTCTTCTTAGAAAGGGCACCTTGAGCTGTCTACACCCGTGCAGTACGGAGAAGGAAAGGTGGAGGCTTGGAAGCAAGATGAGTTTTGGGTAGAGATCAGAGCAAGGACTTTTATCAGGAATGCAATAGGAAATCTGTGACCTCTCACTGAGCATAGCTAAATGTCTTTTGAGAGTTGAGCAGACCTAAAGATTTTTAAGGGCAGGAAGAAACTTGGATGTTATTCTGGTGTTAGCACCTTACGTCTTCAAACAGCATGTTCAAAAACACTGCTTGGATTGAAACGAGTTTGGCTTATTGAAATTTTAAATGCAAGTTTGTGCTGCTTTGTTGCCTCTTGCTGCAAGAGACCCATATAGTTGCAGGTGAATGTCTCTCCTAGAACTGAAGATCATTTTTTCCTCTAAATTATGATCCATTTCACCACCACTCGAAGTGAAGATCACTTAAACAGTAGTGGCTGTAAAAGAGACATCCAAAATTGTAATAAAGTTGTTAACATCAGGTATAAAAGATTGCTCTCTTGGCCCTGAACAGACGTACTTTAAAGTAGGAATAAGGTATTTTCTGTAATGTGCTCCCGTCCCAAGAGAAGATACCTAAAAATGATGAAATTCCATGGTTATAAAAAGTTCACATTAACTGACCCCCAACTATTAATTTTGGCCCAAGTGTCCATGTAATTATCTTGTGGAAGTGACCTTTGAGCAGTATGTATTGCAGTGGTGTCCTAAGGCAAGCCACCGGCCTACAGGAACCCAAGGCAGCAGGACTGCGTGGACGAGGAAGTTACTGGCAAAGAAAGCAAGATGCTCTCATGGCCATTTCTGTGAACTCTTGGGAACTGTGTTACATCAAATTGTTTGTTAGACTTCTCTTCCTTGATATAATGTTTACTGAACTCTCTTGAATCTTTGGTGCAAAACAAATAATGCAGAACCTGGGCACCACAGGGACATGGAAGGTCTCCAAGTCACCTATTGAGTGTTGCAAGTGCTCCCCCTGTGCTGGCCAGTTATTCCGCCTCCCTTGTGGCTCACTAGTAACTTTGTTCTACTCAAAAACTGCAGTGATGCATGGTACTGTCAGGCTTCACCAGAACTCTTCTGCTCTGGGTCGCACAGGGAAATACTACGCTTGCTTTGCTGATGGGGAAAGCAGGAGGCTAGTGAGGTTTAAATGACCAAAGGTGGTGGTGAAAGCTTGGGTGGAGCCAGACAAACGGCACTGCTTCATGGGTTGCCCTCCTCTGATCTATGCACAGATCTCAAGTTTTGGATGTGGAGAATCCATGGTTTGATGGACACAGTTGTATCTCAGTGTGCACCCCAAGACTGCAAGACTCTTGGCCAGTTTAAACAAGGCCTTCTGGACCTCTGTTAAATGCTGGGAAGACTGATGTTCTTCTGGGAGCACAGAAATGAGAAGTTACAAGTTTCCAGAAGATTGCATTGAGTTAAAGATTAGGTCACTTGCATCTGTTAATGCAGGGTGAGTGCAACAGAGCGGGTTGTATGTCCACAGACCAACTGGAGCCTTTTTCTCTGCCTGAGAGCTTATGGTTGGAGCCGTACTCAGGTTTTCTCAGTCTAATTCTGGGTCCTGATGGTTCCTTATGCCTTGATACAGTGCCTCCTCCTGCTCAGCCTGTGCCTGACAGCTCAGCTGAGACAGAGAATTTTTTATAGCTTTGCTACAGTAAAACACGTGCACGTTTGACATTTCTAACATGCTTTACTGAACTTGTGATTATAAAGGTAATTTACAATAAAGCAATTAAATAAACAATAAGTTAAAACACAAAACATTTATGCATTGTATTTCAAAGGGTTTGAAAGAGTTTCGGGTTCCAATACGTTAAGACTTTAAAACAACATTAAGGTTCAAAGTGTATCCACGCCTATACTTATCATTGTAACAAGTTTCAAGACTCCCAACAACGTACATTTTTGGTTACAGTCCTCGTATACGCACAAGACCAGTGAAATGCTCAAGCAATTGTACGATTGAGAAGAGCACTACACGAGACAGGCATGAACGATGTGCTGGAAGCTGCCTGGGGAATATGGGTTTTACCTCTAAATTGAATTGACACTTTGGACGACGAATGGAAAGCGCTAGCATGCTTTCTGGAGCTCGTCTGTGATACTCGTAGTGGGAACAAGTCTCCATATGTCACTCACTTAATACTGTAGTTCCACAAATGTCTTAGGTTAGTGCTGCCTAAAGAAATACCCCACCTTTCTCTGGCCATTTGTTCCCATGTGCATCTTGCACTACCCTTGAGCCAGTGCAAAGAGCTTGTACAGCTCAGTGAACCAGCCAGGGAAAGGGCCCGGAGCTTAAAGTCAACTCAGCAAATGAATACGAAAGAGCGCTAGCTGTAATACTCCTTAATTTCCCTGGGCATGTTCACTGTGCACCAAAAAGGCAGGGGAGGGACACAGTGCCTGGGAGCAGGAGGACTGTTTCTGTAGGCAGCAGTACTGTTAAAAACACCAGTTAAAAACATCTTGTGGAACTACAGGGTTCAGCTTTTTCATTCTGAAACAAGGAACATGTTTTTGAACTAATTCATAGTGCAAATCAAATAGTCAAAAGCAAAATGGTGGACTCTGCCAGAATATACAGTAATTTCTTATGATCTATCTTATCCCTCTTTCTCTCTGGCTCAGCCATTTGGTGCCCAGGGACAGAGTGGAATTTAGGTTTTGATATTGAAGGGTGTACGGCGTAAAGAGTGCAGGGCCACCAGGCAGCAACCACGAAGCAATGCTCCAATATTGTAAATGGGATCTGTTCCTCCTCTCTGAGTACTGAAAGCCCACATGATAGTTGGTACCACAGGGGCTGCTACAGCCAGAACATCTCTGAGGATGCTGCTGCTCCAGTATCGCCTCTTTATTCCTGCCTGAGGGAAAGTATTGACATACCCAAAGGCTTCATCATCATGAGGTTCAGTAAAATCAAGTTCTTTCATGAAACGGTTTTCATTAACTCTGTGCTCCACCTTCCTGCATGGAGACTCCATAGGAGACAAAAGGATGGCAGAGTTTGGATCACTTGGAGTTAAGTCCACTATGATACCAGAATCACTGAAGCTTCCAAGAGAGAATTCACCCAATTCCTTCAGTGATGAAGGTGGGCTCAGAGGACAGGCATCTTGAGCTCTGAAGATGTTTTGAATGAGCTGCTCCACATCTAGGCTATACGGTACTATGTCAGTCTGGACGGCCTGTTCCACCATCATGTTGCTGCTTTTCTCTTCCTCCTGGGAAGAAGTTAGTTTTTCATCCAGAGCATTTTCAACCATCTCTTTATTCACAGCAGAACTGGAGGGAGCTGGATCACTGAACTCAGAGGTTGTGGTGGTCAAACTCTGTTCAGATGAATCAGTCCTGTTAGCTATGTCTTCATTAAGAAGCCCACTATCTGCCACCTCCTCCAGAGCTTGGTCCTCTGTGATGGGGCTGTCTGGCATCGTGGCACACAACGCTAACGGCTTCCTCTCCAATTCACATGTGTACTCTAGGCGCTGCTCATCCCTCACAGAGCCATTCTGAGCCATCTCCATGCTCTGCAGCAAAGATTCCAGTTTCTTGTTTTGAATGTTTATGTCTATGAAGTATTTCTGAATTTTTTTGTCTTTCTCAGCCAAGCTGTTTTTCATGGTTTCAATAACCTGCTTGAGTTGTTTAATTTCACTTCTTGCTTCCTTTAAGGCCAGCTCTGCCTCCACACGATTACACTCTTCTTCAATCCAGTCTTCCCTCATCCGTCCCAGCTGAGCTTTGAGCTCTTCTATTTCTGTTTCCCTGTAGCAAAACAAAACTGTTGTAACACTTCTGAGGACTGGTCAGCTAAAGAGGCTCCACCACACTGTGATGGCTGTGCTGCAGAGGTGCTCCAAGAAGGCAGCAAATTCCTCCACGCACCATTTGCTGCCGCCTCTGAGGGAGCTGGCAGAAATGTAACCCGGCTGCCAAGACGTGCTGGCTGATTGCTAACGGGAGTCACCGACCTTGCCACACAGCCAGCAGCCTTGTGGGCTATGCCATGATCCCGGACATTTTGAGGCTCAAGTGGTGACCTCTAGGTCAGGGCCAACATCTCACCTACTGCCTTGCCCTGGAGGAAATGAGAAACATGTGTCCCCCATGCCTGCCAACAGCTCTTCATGTACAGCCAGAGGCAACGCTGGCTGCTGCCTCGGCTTGCGAGTGGGGAGAGGGGGCCCCTGCGTGAGATCCAGCCCTCGCGGATGCAGAGGTCGGGCTATCCCGAGCTGGACCACGGGGTGCCCGGGCCTGGGTCTTGGGGCTCCACTCAAACAGTCCTTCGTGCCCACTTGGGTTGTGTCTGCTGGAGAGCCAGCTCTCAGAGCGCGGTTTTAGTGAGAGATGACAATTGTTGCTGTGTAATGCACATTGTCACTTCTTTGCTCAGCGTCCATACAAAGGGCTATTGTGAAAAATTCAATGTCTAAGTGACAAAAACACAAGCGGGCACGCTGGTTTGTGTAACAGCTTTTCTTTCATTAGGGGAGAAGGGGGGCATTTGTAGTCACATTTCACTGAGTGAGGTAGAACAGGAGACTAAGGTAATACATGCTGGCAGGTAGAAATTGGTTTATGTATAAAAGGTCTCAGGGCTAAATCAGACTGGTAAAAAATTATCCTTTAAAAATATTATGTTGTAAAAGTTCAAAGAAGGGAAAAGAGACAGCTATATTCATAGCTAAACTGCATGGTACGTATTCCCTGAGAAGGCTTTGAAACCTGAAACACCTGAAAACAACCTAATCAGACTGATCATATTTCAAATTTCTTAATGAAAACTATGTAGTCAGGAAATTAGTAAAAATGTTCAGGATTCCCTCCCCTAAGTGCTTCTGAGTAACTAATCTTTCTAACTCTGATTTCTGAAGTGAAATTTACCTTTCTTTAAGCTTGCTCTCAGATTCCTTCAGCTTTGTTTTCAAATGCCGTACTGTAACTTCTTTCTGCTGCAGAGGAGTCAAATACTGCTCTGGATTTTGTGGCTTAATGCTGTGATTGTCACCACAGGAATTGTATCTCCCTGATCGCCTGAAAAGAAAAAAACCCAAGCCATCACATAACATCACTCCTACAGTTGCTCAGCCCTGGCAAAAAGAAAAACATCCCATTGGCTGATACAAAGCTGAGACTACACTTGACTTGTCTGGGGCTCTTCAGTGTCCGCACATGACTCCCTCTGGCAGATCAAAATACTTGAGGAAACACCTGATTTGTGGCTATAGTGCAAAATTTACTATTTACTGTACTTGGTTTCAGTGCCATTACATCAAATGAGACATTTAACTTTAAAATACCTAGCCATCCCCTCACCCGAAATGGGTGGCATGTCCAAGAGCAGGCAGCTGGGCCACTGCCAAGGGCATCCAGCTCAGACACGGCCAGGTGAGGTAGCGTGTGGACTGGGTTCAGCTCCACACGTCAGTTATGAAGCTGAGCACACTGAAACCTGGATTCATCCTATCTAGCTTTAGGTGTGTATCTGACATGCTTGGCTGATGCTTTTTTTTTTTTTTTTTGCCTGAGAGAGAGAGAGAAAGAGAGAGAGAGAGAAACAGCAGCAGCATGGTGGCAATTTCTTCTCTGTAATATGTCACATTCCCTGGCAGGTATCTCCTTTCTTTCCTGCACAGAAAATTGAACAGGGAGGTGCCTAATACTGTGCAGGGTGAATTTTCACTCGAGCGCATTTTTTCTATACTACCCCACCCAACTCTCTCCAAAGCGAGAGGACCCTTAGACGAAAGAACCAGTAAATCCCCATGAGAACTGATGGCATGAAACCACATGAAGGAGCCTGACTTGAAGTGAAAACCAACTACAAAAGTTTTTGACTAAAAATAACCTTGAGTTTTACAGTGCTGGAACAATAAGGCTAAATTTTAAAAGGGATGGAGTACCCTGTTGACTGTCAAGCCACCAATATAAGGTGTCACACCTATGCTGAGGAGCAAGGTGACCTGCTCAGCAACTCATACAGCTGATCCCACGTTACAGTGCAGAGAAGGCAAGTCAGTGCGCTGAACACCGGGATGCTGAAATAAAGACTTGCCTCATCACTGGGCTGCTGTCGCTTCCTTTGTATGAGCCTGAGTTGCTGCTGCTGGCTGAAGAAGCCCTGTAACTCTGATGGATGTTAGCAGGGCTCAGCTGGTTTTTGCACAGTGTTGACAAAGGGTCCTTTTCACGGGAAGCAGGTGGGCTGGCTCCAGACTTGTAGGATAAGGATCCATTATTCCGACCATAAGGGCCACGACTGGAAGGGAACAAAAATGGTTAAAGCATATTGGATTATCCTCGTCACACAACCCATTATGTGTCCTCTTTTACACACACAGTTGTCTACACACTAAACCAGATAGATAACTGTGAGTGGCCAGGAAGAAAGAAAGTCCTGAAGTTATCAGCCACTGCATGCTCTTTTACTGACTGTGGGGTGCTCAGTCTGAATTATGTGATGTAGGGAAGCCTCGGCCATTTTCACATTTCTCTGTGAATAGCACACTTCCCAGTGACTCCATCAGACCGTCTGTGTTCCCTGAACCTCTGACTCCATTAAGTAATGAGAGGACTGCAGCCTGGGTGAGTGCCAAGAAAACCACGCTTCAGCTTTCCTCAGCCAGGCCCACAGAGAGATGCCCGTCCGTGGAGGTTTGCTGTAAGGCTGCTTTCATGCTCCTCAGCAAGCAGCCTGAGGGATCACAGCGTGCAGTGAAAACAGATTTTGTTTGAACCACTGTTATTTTCTGCCTGTGGCATACTGGGTGCTTCAGCTGTCATTGTCAGCTATTCATTTCCTTAGATACAGTTTGAACCCCACTGAAGTCAGGCTGAAATGGTATTAAAATAGACAAACGAAAGCACAGCCTTTTCTTCCTACAAGTTTCCCTCATACATATTTACCTTTCTTTTCTCACCCTTTATTAAATAATCTGACCGCCAACTGTGTGTGCTTGAAAGGAACTGGTATCTGCCCTGCCTGACAGCTGCCAAAGGGCTGGGCACTCTGAGGACAGCTGCTCGGGGCATGTTCCTTGCCTGCTTGCTTGGTTTGCCTTCCCGCACTACTACGCTCCTACCTTCGTCCTCCCATGGAAGTTGTTCTTCTAAACTGTAATGAAAGGGCAGGTTTAAAAAAAATACGGAAAAAGGCAAATCCAGCCAGCAAAAGGAAGGGCTTGAACATAAAAATTTAAATACCACAGAATTATGAAGCAAAATCTCTTCTTAAAATTGTCTGACTTGGTTTCCTCCTTTTTCTGAAAATGGAACAGTTTATAAGGAACAGATGGTTGAGCGGCTGCTGCAAACGTTCATCACACTGCTGCGGTTTGGGTGATTTTATAATTATTTTACAATGAAGTGCAGGACTGTGGTTTGTGACAACACTGAAATGTTTCATAGTCAGTTAAGTCGAACAGTTAAAAAAGAACATATTGCAAAGGAGACACCTCCTTCCACTTTGTACAGTATGGCATCAACTCTGGTGTGAGGCAGAACTTGCACAGACTGTGCATAACACAGCAATGCGTTTGAAGGAGCACTATTATAGAGGACTTCTGTTCAATTGAGTAGGTTAGTATGCTCTCAGTTAAAGTTATACTTAAATACAGAATATATCAAATGACACAAAATCTTACTGAAAGAAAGGTGATTTTAGGGCTTCATATTATACTTAGTATAATTTTTTTCCCACAGCCAGTACCTTTATTTGTTAGTTTTAATCTAGAGAGTGTTTAAGCAATGTTTATTTTTCTAAGAGTCTCATGATACAGATAGGAAACTGCTCATTCATTCTGCCAGTCTTTGTACACTGGGGCACACGGTGACCTTGGGGATGTCTGGGTTACTTAAGCATACGGGTATCCTGCTGCCAGTCCCAGCCTGCCTGCCAGCTCTTCCACAAAGGGCAGGAAACCAGTCATGTCAATTTGAACTCTTTCCTCCTACTCCAAAGTATGTAGCCAGCGGGGGTTGCGTGGGCAGAGCACAACGTGAGCTGCTCCAGCCCAACGCCCCCATATTCGCAAGCTGCCCGGATTTGCACTTCACACATGATAGAGAGAAATCTCACAGAAATCTTTCATGAAAGATTCATTTAGATAGATGACTATGATTTTTTTTTCTTTTTTTTTTTTTTTTTGCATATAGTTTTAGTTCTATAAAGGCTGGGCAACGGTATTTAAGAAAAAAGTGTCAAAGGCAATATTGTCTACTTCTTCCTACAAAAAATAAGGTCATGGTCTGGAAATGTATATGCTGAGCTGACAATCTATTACAGAGAGTAAACAATGTGATAAGATCAAAAGGTTAACTGGTTAGAAGTGCTGCTGTTAACTAACATGCACCCAGTTGTTATCTCCTCCACCCCAGGTAATGCCTTTTCTGCCTGGCCTGATTGTATTTCCCATACTTGTTAAGAATAAACAACAAAAAAATATCAGTCAACTTATCTGGCATATTGACAATTTTTGTACTCCAAATATTTTTTTTCTTTCTCATATCACAGTTCTCATCAGTGTAAACACTACCCGACATCATACTGTTACCCAAATTGTTTTAAAACTCACAATACTGTTATTGTATGCATTAAGTGCAAGACTTTACTCAGTAGTCTTATCTTCGCACTAGCAACACTTGCACTATTCATGAAAAATTGCTTTGCTTACTTGCGAGAAAAAGAAGATCTTTTGCTTCCAGCAGCAGACATATGGACTTCAGGTGCTGAAATACTGCCTGTGCTGCTTGAAGAGCTAAAATCAGCTTCACTCCCTGGAAAGGAAAAGGGAAGAGTGAAAACATGATGGAAATTATAACTCAAAGACTGTTTTCAAAATAACAATGAATCACAAGCATCCTTCCTCTGACCGTCCTGTGTGAATTTCAGAAGTTGCATGAATTTTCAAACATCCCTGAGGACAAGGGCTGGATTTGTTCCAGATTTTCAACATTGCTTCAGAACTGGCACTTCAGCAAGAGCAGAAAAACCCATTTGGACACAAAACCCTCACACTACAAAAGCCATTTTAAGACTCGGCTAGGAACACTGTTTGTGACAACCTGTTTGCTTTCTCACAGCCATCAATATGTGAATGAGGCTGCTCACGTGGCTCCTTCAGGAGCATGGTGATTAGGAGCACACAACTGTAACTGGAGATTTCTTTTGCTTTAAACCATATGATTAGGAGCACACAACTGTAATTGGAGATTTCTTCTCCTTTAAACCATATGAAACTTGATGGGAGGAAAGATGCTTCTATTTTGGTTTCTGAGATTACGTAACACATACATGTATATATGTATAAATGTCTATAGGCTAACAGAGTCTATGCATATATATCTATGTATACACATATGCAGGTTTTCATGAGGCACAGAAGCATAGTAAGTCATTTTTAATAGCCTTAAAATAATCCAATAATCATGTGTGACTCTCAAGTGCTTTTCGGGTGGTAAGCCATCTATCTGATTACCGACTTTCTATGCATCACAGCTTTTACTTCCCAAGCCTTGGCATATATACAAGGAAAATTGCTCTCATTTTGCTAAGGTCAGTAGGAGGTGGATGTACTAAGAAAATCTTATCATATGGAAAAAAAATCACCCTAAAGTTAGGATTTTTTTCAGTCAGTCAGATGGCAAATGTCCCAAACCATATTCAGGTCTCACACTGCAGAGCCACAATAGTGTATGATGACTTTATCGAGGGGATGGAAATAACTTTCCAACACCCTTTAAGCAGACGGTCAGGGGGAGCATCTCTCATCTGAGAATTTCTGGGTGCCATCCCACGCACAGACACCCCTGGCCAGCAGCTGCAGATCTACCACAAATCACATTTTTGCTATCTTTTCCACGAGGGGGAGATGCAGCTGCAGCTACCATCATCCCCACCGTGGCAGATAAACTTTCAAGTGCACAATCTCTCTTAAATCCTTCACTGAGCTGATGGTGATGGGCACGTCTTGCACACCTGAATACCTGGGACTGGGAAAAGGCCTTGTTGGAGCTTGTCTTTTGCAACCTTAAAGAGGATGAGACAAGCAGCAACCATCTTTACCATCCGGCAACTCTTAGCAACCGGTCTTAGGATCAGATGTGTTCAGATTTAACCCAATGCTTTCCCAACCTCACCAGGTCTCAGACCAGCCCCTGTTTCTCTGTGCTTCTGGTTCAGCACAGCCCAGAATATTCCTCAGCTCAATTTCAAAGTGCTCAAATGCAAAGCTTAGCTCTTCAAAAGGTATCCCTGGGACCCAGCTTTATCACTTCTAATCAAGTCCACGACCAGTACAACACCCCTGATAACCAGATCCAAGTGACCACAGCTGTAACCAGATCAGAACCGCGTGCAAGTTTGCAAAGGGAGGGAGGGAGAGCAGCAAAACCACTTTGTTTCACAGAGTATTTATATCATGTCTACAGATGCAGATGTCAGTGACCCTCTCCTTGGGGAAGCAAAATGACCGTGGGACATGATGTCCAAAGCTGCTACGGAGTTTTCCTGATAAACAAACTACTTCCATCTATGAGACTAAAATACCAAATACTGTCTCTGTATCATGCTACTCCCAAAGCTACTTTTCCAAGCAAAACCCCAACAGGTAAACACATCACATAGATTTCATACCTCTGGTGTTTGGGCCCCCACAACATTCCTGCCCTTGCAAGTCAGCAACAGCTTTCCAAAGCCAAGTTGTGGCTGCGGTACAGAGAACAGGAGCCCTAGCCGAGGCTTATCTCTGCTTAAGTAGACCACATCATAATCAGATCTTGCTATGGAAAGCATTTCGAAGAAGCAAGGCTTAATAATAGCCTCTCCCTGGCCCGCATGGCTTGGAGCGCAGCTCTGGGAAGGGCTGTCGAGCTAGGCACTGCCAATAAGAGTCAGCAGAGCCTGGAGACGCAACCACCTCGAAGGCTGAGCTTTCTGAAAGACTGAACTGCATTTGAGACCAGGAACTGTGTCTGCAAAGCACGAATTAACCTTTCTGGCCCCAATTCTGATAACAGTTACACCCAAGCTTAACACTAAGCACAGGAGACCACTTATGCTTAAAATTAGGCTTGTGGCTATTTATAGGATCTTCAAGAGCATTTTATAAAGTAAAGGGGTCAGTCACTGCTAGTATCGTTTCCAAGTGCATTAGTGATGTCCAAGACAGCTCTGCGTGTAGCAGAGCTTGACAGCAATGTTCCTAGGAGACTTTAAAAAATATTTTCTCCCATTTGGTAAACATCTCTAAGCAAAACAACATGGCATCTATCCATATAATATCAGTTGCAACATAGTCTCCTGGGTAAGCGTGACTTCTATCTTACAAATGTCTTAACAAAGAGATGAAACTCCTTGCCCAGCAGCAATGTGGGCCCGAGCTGAACACGACCTCTCATCTCTCCTAACGCCATTCTCCAGGCTGACAGCTCTCTAAGGATGCCTGTTGACTATTTTTGTTGCTGTGACAATGTGCAAAAACTCACATATGTAAGCCCCAGAAGAGCCTGCCGATTCAGCGTTAACCACGAAAGAGGTTGACATTTCTCAAAAACATATTCTGTTGTCCCAACTGGCCATAACACTTGTTTAGCTGTGATCTGAGAGTTCCCTGTTAAGAGGACTGTCTTACCCACCCTTTCCTGCAAAAGACGCTACACGTTGAGACGCCAGCTTCAGCGGTATCTTATCTGAAATTCATTCATACTTATTCTTCCATGCTCCAGCCACTCAGTGGCACCAACAGCCTGCCAGCAGGCAAGACGGCTCAGGAATACGCTCTGATGGAAACGCTGGTGCCGCACGTACGGCATCCGACACTGGCAGGCCCACTGCTCTGGCCTCCCCCCGCCTCGCAGCAGGCTCTGAGCAGCAGCACACCCACGCCACGGGAGCGGAGCTGTGCGCTGCTCTGTGCAATGGCAAGAACAACAAAAAGATGGCCAGCAAAGTACTGTAACTTTTTCCAGGATTGCTGCTTGCCTGGAACGGGTATCTGAGAAGCTGGAGTGAAACAGTGCAGCGTCCCTGCGCTTCACTGCTGGAGGGGCAGCGGCACCGCGCTGTGAGGCCAGCATCACGCTTCGTGCTGCCTTTTAGGCTCCTCGCTGCCCTGACAGCATCGCGACAGCCACCTCGCTTCAGTGGACTTGCAGGAGGGCAGAAGGGAGCCTGCAGCCCCGCAGCTGCCCTGGCCACGGCGAGGAGCGCAGGCAGCCCGGGCAGGCAGAGCTGCGGGGGTCCAGCCGGCACGTGTGCTCCTCTGCGCCGTGGGTCAGGGACCACAGCTCGGGGAGCTAACGCCCTCCTGCCACAGCACTGCAAGCAACTGGGGAGCCTCCTACTAATCACCCATGGGCAAATTTTCCACCCTGTGTGTGACGCAAGCACAGACTTTGGGCCGGCATTGAGGAGAGGGAGAAAGAAGCGCATATGCAAGGACAGGTACACCTCCAGCTGGCACTGGTGTTGGGTTTGTCACACTTGTGCAGTGCAGCCAACACAGCCACATTTTGGATATAGAAAAGCCCCACCTTTAACTCTGCTCTCCACACTGCCTCAGCCATAGTGGAAGGGTAATGACACAGCACGCTGACCATAACACAGATTGCATTCACAGCTTTTGCAGGCAGCACAGACTGGAAACATTTGGCTTACCGGGACAGTATGCAAGCACAGAAATACCATATCATGTATGTATGTATATAGGTATATAGAGACAGTATATACGTTTCTTACACCGAGTCATGCAATAACCCCACATGCATGCCTGGAGCATGGTATCTCAGTCTGCTATTTCTATTCATTACAAATGGTTGGATATCCCATTTTATGGTCTTCTGGCCCTAATATTAAAATTTTGCCTGCACTTTAGCATTTAATCTTTTTCCTTCCATAAGAATAAAGCTCAAAATTTCTTGTGTACATTTTATTGTCAATTTGCTATCTAAATAGTAAGATTAAAATATGGAAAAAAAGAAAAAGTTCAAGCAATATCTGTGACAAGAACATTGACAGCTGAGTAGCAGAACTGGATTCCCAAAACTCAGAATGCATAGAGCTTATTAAAATCTAGTCTTTTTGTATAAATCTTTCCTATTTGCAATTTCACCGCTGTTTCATATCTGCCAAAATATATAAACCACAAAGCTTACCTATCTCTGATTCCATAAGCATGACCTCTTTAAATCAATCTGTCTGTCTGTCTATCTATCTATCTATCTCTTACATATAGGCACCCTGTGAAACAGGGCTGTAAATAAAACTGTGCTGGCAGAGAGAGTTTTCCCTCAAAATGTAAAGCACTTAAATTTTCTGAGCTTCCTTGCCTTCAAAAGCATCCTGTTATATGGCATAGAGCCCAAAATATGCATATATGTTCACCACTCTGGTGCAGCAACTAGAGTAAGTGGCACACTCTCTCTGTAGATAGCTTTATTTAGAGTCCCCAGGGGAAGAGATAGGGCCTGACTGCGTAAAAAATTCCCTCAAAGCCATTAGAAGCAGCTGGAAAAGTAGAGAAAATGCAGTTCTAATGCCCACTATTGAAGGGACCTGTATTTTTATGAGATTCAGTTTCATTTATCTTGAAACCTTTAACTCACAGCTACATCTCTAGTTCCAATCTTTAACAGCATAAGCAGTATATTTCCAGGAACCACTAATACTGCTTCTTTTCTATTTAATATGAGATTGCTCCTGCAAGATTATTTTTGTACACCACAAGCAATCTAAGGAGAGAAAAATCACACTGCTCACATGCACTGACAAATGTAAG